CTATATGTGTCTGTCCCAACTGGAGAATGACATTATTACTTAGAGCTTAACTTGAAGTATTGACATTCAGTTTTCCATTTTAAATACTAATTTATCCGTGAACATTAGAGCTGCACAGACTTTGCTTATGGCAGAGAAGTTCATTTGACTAGAGATGAATAAATTGTTTTCTTCATCAGTTTGTTTTTATTGTTTTCAAGCCAAATGGATTTTTCTCTTGGCTGAAGAATGCCAGACCTGAAATACTGCATTCTTTGCTGCTGTCTGCAGGCATGTAGTAAATATAGCACCTTTGGGTGAGGCCAATCAGCTGAGAAATGAATAATCATTTCATTCATCTGGCTTTTGTCATCAGTTTATACTTGAGATTTTTTTTAAGCATTGCAGTTTAACAGCTCAATAGCATTGCCCTGTGTTGAGAACAGTAGACGAAAATATAATTTTTTTGGTAATGTTAGCTGACAGCAGGAAGACTTCTGCTCATATGTGTTTTCCTAATAAATGAGAAGATGAGTTAGCTTGTTTGTCATTAATTCAAATGTATATTAATTCAGATTTTTGCCAATATAACTATTGCAGTATGCTTTACTTGTGAAGCATTTTTCCCGTGGACGTGGCTACATGATAACCTTTGCCGCGAGGGCGAGCTAATTTCAAGCTCTCGGTGTGTGTGACTCCACGAGAGGAGGATGGCTGTGGCTGTTTGGGTGTGTTGCTACACCGGTAGGAATGAGTGACTGCAGTGACTTGCATCCTTACCTGTGAGCCATCCAGACCTGATTTCAGCTGATGGGTCTGACTGGTTGCCCTCCTTTTTCATCTTTTCATTGCTCATTCTCTCCCTGGTGGAATCCAACAATGTTTGTCTTTTATTAATGCCTAGGACTTTCTTTGAAGTCTTGTATGTCATCAGGTACAATGCACTGAGCTAAAACAGACTCAGCTTTGTAAGCTTTGCCCTTTTCATAGGCAATCTAAAAAAACGTAGTCTGAGAGCAAACTTCCATGCTCTCCTATGTCCCAGCAAACTTAAGAGTCTTTATAAAAAGTCAAAGAACTTGGCATTTAACCTCTCTTCCTGGTTTCCTCTCTTATAATGATATATAGCAAGCCCAAGGGCTATAGAACGCAGGAGGTGCGTCTCTTCACCTAAAGAGACACCATTAGCATTCACAGCCAGTACTCCTTCTAGCTGCGCTTTCAGATGGTGCCTTGATAGTCGGTGGTCTTTTCTAGATGTAGTGTTTTTTTGTATTAGAATAAAGTATAAAACTTAAAATACTTTTCCTAAATACTTGTATTTGTTTGCCTTTGCAGGATAAGAGAGCGCATGGTCTGGGGGGACGAGAGCACAGGACAATGCTGCTGAAAGGAATCTGAGCCACAGAGCATGCTTTGTGCCACAGTTACCCAGGTACGCTCCAGCAGAGTACTTTGTGCACCGGTAATGAACCACAGTTTGTTGTGCTTGTTGCTCCATTACTTATCATCCTGAGCCAAGGAGACTGTCTCAGCCCCAGACCAAAATTATGCTCTGCTTTCATCCTTCCATCTGGATGGCACTGGCAGTCTGAAACCTTCTAAAGCCTTTTATGTGTGTTTTAATTTTATCTGATTGCTAAATTTCAGCTGGTCTCTCTTGAAATGTTAAATTGGTTTGTGTCATGAGGCAGGCTGAACATTTTAATGTAAGTTTTCAGAAGTCTTTTATGCACAGAGAAGACGTGGTCTCAATAAAGGAGGTGCTGAACTACATATCTGGAAACAGTTTTGAGACTTGCTTCAGACTGTTCTTGGAAACTACTCCAGTTGATTCACCTGCAGATAATCTGCTGGGTTTCAGAAGTCAAAAGCAGTGGGGCAGAGGCATCTGCCACTGCTTTGCACACCAGTCTAATGAGCCAATGCAGATTTTTCAGGATGTTTTGATAGGAAATGTGAAATTTTCTGATGCTGCTTTTTTTTTCCCCCAGAAATAAAATTTTTGGGTGAGTATCTAAAACCTTCATTTCAGTGCAGCTCAGTTCTGTGCTGTCTAATTATATGCTTATGCTAAAGAAAGATGTTAAGGAGGTAAAGATCTGCCTTACAAGATGGAATCTAGGATTTTTGAAAAGCAATTCTGTGACCCGGGAGCCATCGCAATCCGGTAGCACTCGCTGTCTTACAACACTGACTAAACAAATAAATAAATGTAAAAAAATCATATGATTGTGAAGTGTTTCTGTGGAATAGAAGCTAACTTTTCTACTAGCACCAGCTGGCAAGTGGGAGTAGAGAAACAAAGCAAACAAACAGCAGAGAAGAGTAGGAGGAACAACGGTGATAGTCTAAAACCTGACACATTAGGAGACCAGCATGAAGAATAACAAACTCATTATCACAGGATGTTTTGCATAGCAACAGGACTCTTGTCTTCAAGTGGACTTTAGTGTAACTGCAGCGCTCGCTTCCTGTGTGAGATAAAAAACTGTTGTACTCTGAATGCATTTTAATCTCTATAATCTAAATTGGACTAATAATTAAAAAGAATTAGCTGAAGGAAACGATAGTGAAGTCTATTGCTCCTGAAATTGTTTCCTCTTATTTTGCTGTCAGAGAAGCGAGAACAGAAATACGAGCAAAGGAAACAGATTAAAGACGAACTTTCTCCCCAGGTGCTGAATGCTGTCTACAAACTACTTTGTCGATGAAGGAAGAAATTGATTGGGAATTAAAAGCGCGAACTAGTTCGTAATACCATTCAACATGCGCAAAGGGGTGCCAAAGGACCCAGAAATAGCTGACCTGTTCTACAAAGATGATCCTGAAGAGATATTTGTGGGTTTACATGAAATTGGACATGGAAGTTTTGGAGCAGTTTACTTTGTAAGTATAGTTCTTTACCTCCTTTTTGGAAAATTGAACCATTTTAAGTGTCATTTTAGAGATTTTCAGCACTTGTAAAAGTGAGTGTTCTTTGAGCCCGCAGTGCTTTGTGTATATTAGCTATCTCAAAGTAAGTGTTTGCAGAGCCTTCCTGAGCTCTCTGCTGTTAAGCTGTATTTGTAGTAGCAGTCGACTATAGTCTTAGAGTGCCCAACCATTTGGGGTAAGTATATGGTACCTTGTACTGTCTGATGCTGAAAGTTGAATTTGAACAGCTGGAAATTAATTTGCCAAACTGGAATTTCAAGATACTCTACTTGGTACTCATATGCTTGTAAGTCATTGTGAATTAATAGATCAAGTAAATTAATGATTCAGAATGCATTTGGAGTTGAAAGCTACTTTGTTAGTGAATTGGTATTGTGTCTGCTTGGGTAAAGGTACCATGGAAGTCTCCTCAAATCGCATTCAGGCTTTTGAATGATTTCTCTGCTGCTCTGACAATTTAGGAGTTAAAAGATATCTTTGAAATATCATTTTGTTTTGCCACCCTCCTTGTCCCTATGTTCATCTCATAACACAATATCTTCAATAGCAAATGCTTACATGGCAAAGGCAAAGAGAAGAGTCTTGAGAGGAATGGGAATTCAAGCGAGAAGGATGTATTGCATTAATTGATAGAGTCAAGAGAATTTAACCTGGAAAATGAGAAGAACAGTGCTTATTATAACCACTATCAAACAAAGCCAAATCCAAAATACTGGATTTGGAAATAATTATAATCCAGTCCCTATCAGTGAAACTAGAACGGAATTCACTGTGAAAAAAATCAGGCAAAGACAAATTAAAACTGCTTGGTAGCATGGCCTGCCACTCCAGAAGATCAAGTTCACTAGAACTGAGGCTTCTGAATATCAGACAGTATAGAATTTAGGTAAGTACCTTTATACCTGTAACTGCAGGATCTGGCACTAGCTAGCACAGATATTTGCAAGCGCTCCGATTCACTGTTTGTAGTTGAGTACAGTGATGGAGGTGTTGGTGGAACTGTCGTTAGGACAGGAGAGGAGCCTGATATTTTGTGTCAGATAAGCACTGCATGTATGTTTTGAGGGATAACAATATAATTCCTCAATGTGTAATATGGTAGTAATGATACAGGGGGGTCCTGCCATGGGGATTGTCAACGCTGCGACATGCCCTTTTAGATGTTGGGGTGAGTGGCAGGTTGGTGAAAGTATCCTGTTAAATGTACTCCCTGTGTAAGAGGATGAGGCTGTAAAACTTAGAATACATGTTGGTCCACTCCATAAGAAGAGCAGGTGTTTTTTTAGATGGGAATAGGGAGGTCCTGGCCAGTGTATTTCAAAACCAAAGGGAAAGGATGCGTGGTATGCTTTAGGGCAACGATGAAGTAGTGAAGGTGCCAGCTTTATTATTCAGCTCTGGTGTTCAGAAGTTCCTCATACTTCAGGGAAAGAGGGTGAGGAGTGTTAGAGATCTAATCTACCGACCAGGCTTCCAGCTGAGATGTCACTGTGGTTAGGCACAAGACTTGCGATTCCCCAACGCTTCTCTTTCTCCTTTCCCTGGATGCCTTATTTAAGTGGTGTGTGTGCTTGACAAACGTTGGAGAGTTTAGCCAGGCTGCAGCTCCTTGCGGTATCCGAGCAGCAGCTGCGTCCTCCAGGCTTGCTGGTGATTGCAGTCATGCCTGTAGTAATACTGCTGTAGTAATACTACTGTAGTAACTAGATGCATCACCACTTTTCTGTGATACATCCACACTTCTCTGCCGCTGTTTGAAACATAAGCTTTCCTTTCCGTTACGTGAAGGACTTGGCATCCAGTAAACTGTTCTTCGGAGTCTCTGCCCTGCCTGTGTACCGAAGTCACAAGCAGGAACTCGCCTGTTTGCAGTTTTTGTACACAGTAGCCCAGGATCCCTCCACTTGCCCAAGGGAGGCTCTAGCTGTGCCCTGCTTTGTGTGGGTCCTGCTAGAGCTTTTCTGTACCGTGCAGGGGATGCTGTGCATCTTTTGTTTTGGTTTTCCTCCTTTTTAAAAGCTTTTGTAGCCTGTCTTACATCTTGATTCTTACGGATCTTAGGGTAGGGAAGGGGCCAAGGATAAGATCTTGGATTGTCATGGCAAGATTCCAGGGATCCTGACATGCTTGGTATCAAAAAGAATAGGTCAAAAAACCTTTGAAGGACAGGGCTTTCTAAATATTCTGAAAGAATGGGGAAGGGTCTTCAGATACATAAAAAGGGGCCGGGCATGGATTGTTATGCTGTTGCTGCATCTCCTTGACTTTTATATAAATTGGTATTGACACCACTACAAACAGCAAATCTGTGTCTTGTCACTGTTATTATAGTGGATTAATATGATTATTCTTTTAATAATTTATGATTACAAACTCCAATTGAAGTCCAACTTTTGCAAGATGTTTTGTTTTCCAGTATATTATTGCCAAGGTTTGGCAAGACAATCTGAAACTTCTTTTCTTGCTTGAAAGAAATGGTATTTCATATATCACAAGGCTAAGAAAAAATACGTCACTTCTCACAAGGTTTCAAAGTTGATGCTAACTGGACTTGAAATCAGCTAAGTTGATATCACACTTAACTTCAGGAGAATAGTTTTCATCAAAAATAACCTAAGTTTTTTCCGGATCTCTAATACGGATCTGTGATAAAGCAGATGAGGGCAGTGTAAAGGACGTTTCTGCAAGCAAAATGTGCTTGTCTTCAGCCAAGCTGTTGGCTAAAGATCTACGAGTGCAGCCGAAACCACTTCAGCAGGTGGATATTTGTTAAGTGTGCTTATAGAGCCCTTTAGGTTATTTCAGCCGGGAGGATCCCAAGCACGTGGTACAGCAAGAACTTCACCCACGACTCTGAGAACGTGGCAGTGCACCGTTCGGCAAAAAATCATGGCTGAAATGAGAGATACCATCTTCATGTGAAGATACTTGGAGTTAATGTAACGGGCAGAAATACCTGGAAATTTGTTTAAACACCAGCAGTTACTCATCTGTTTGAGTGAAATACTCTTGATCTGTTATGTGCTGAATCAGAATGATGAGTGGTTAGGAAGGGTTTTGCCTGTCCAAGAGTTATTTGTTTTCAGCTTTCTCTAACTCGCTGGAGAAGGAGCGTGTGCTGTGAAGAGTCTAAATGTGTCAACTCCTTTAGTAATTCCTGTGCTCTATTGGTTCACCTGATGCCATTTGTCTTTGAAGTCACTGTATGCATCATGAAATGTCTTTCATTAATACATTACTTGAAAGTACAGCATTCATCCTCTCAAGAAGTTGAAAGAAGGATTTGCCACATTTAGCTTCTAATGTGACGTGCTAAGCTTTTAACTGTCATTAGTTTTTTTGTCACAAAAATGGCAAATGGTTGGAGGTACTGGGATTTCAACAACTCTTAAGACTAAAACCTTCAAGTTTTCTGTCCTTAACATGCAGAAATGAGGTCAGTGCCAATCCAGACAAGTAGAGCTCTTTCTAAAACTGAGTTTTCAGCCTCTGGTCACCATCCCTGTGTCATACAGTCTGTAGAAAAGTAGAATTTTGACTGAGTAATATCCATTGTATAACTGATCTGGTGCAGTGAAAGGAAGGTTGCTTTTTAAAATTGAGATAACTTCCAGAAGGAAACATCGTCTTGAAACTGGAATTGAAATAGCTGTTTGAAAATTCCCATGTTGTATGGGTGTTTTGGATGAGATTATAGAGATTTTGATACAACTCTTTGTTTCTTTGGAAAACATTTTTCCAAAGGTTTATCTAAAACTGTTTTTACTGCAATTCCAACAAAACTCTATTTTGCATGTTTTACGTAGGTGCAATGTTGGGCCTTGGTTTGCATATCAATAGGGGAGGTAGCAAGTGCAGTAAGGGCTGAGGGAGGAACGGTGGATATGGACAGATAGATAAAGTCAGGAAAAAGTGTCATAATAGTTGCCTGGTAAATCGTATGACAAGGAAGATGTCTCTGAAGTGTAGGAGCTTGCCAGGATGCGATATAGGAGAAAAAAGTCTGTATTTGCCAAAAGCACGGCTTGCTCCATGGGGAGGAAAAAAAACTGAAACTGTTTTCAATCTATTTCTTTCTTGCTACTCCAGGCTACAAATTCCCACACTAATGAGGTGGTGGCAGTCAAGAAAATGTCCTATAGTGGAAAGCAAACCAATGAGGTAAGATGAATAAAGCTAATTCTGCGTGCAGAAGCCGTTGCAAACATAATGTAAATCTGAACAGTGAAAACAGCTGCATATTTCATTTGACACTAGCAGACCAGCTTTTTAATGCGGTAGCTGTTGCTTGCTTCCATAGGAAGCATGGAGGTTTGTGGAGGGAAAATGAGTTTATGCAAATTTTGACAAATAGTTCAGTTTAAGGAAGTGAATGGGAATTCAGAATGCTTGTAGGGGTGGTTATTTCAGTAATAAGGGCATTAAGAGTACATCGGCTACTGGAGCCATAACCACAACTCCTTGAGGTGTCAACTGAACTGTGTAGCTGACTTGAAACACTTTTCAGGATCTATAATCTAAAATTACATAGCCCTTCTATTCAGAATATCAGTCTCACTTCAATTCTTGCTTGTTATTTGCTCCTCTTACTTCTTTGTGTCCTGATGCTTTCTACGTGGATTGACTCTGTTCACGTGGATTGACTCTGTTCACGTGGATTGACTCTGTTCACGTGGATTGACTCTGTTCACGTGGATTGCTGGGCTGATACGCAGTAAAGAATGTGTTAGGAGCGAACAGGGATGTTTCAAACTCCATTTTTCCTTGTTTACCTGTTGGTTTCCCACATCTGCTGGAGTCTTCCAAATGTCAGGTGCCTTGTGCCGCATTACAGAAGGAAGCTAACAGCTAGCTGCTATCACCTGTAGCATGTACTGTAGGTCATGGTGTCTGTTTTGGGGCAGGTGGGTTTGTTACTAAGTTTGAGACCACTGGACGGTTCAAGAAGCAAAGTAGTAGCGATGCTTTAAGTAAAATACATCGCAGATAAAATGAGGAAAAAAAAAAATTGCAGTCCTCAGGCTATTTAAATATGTCTTCAGGAGGTCTTAATGCAGTAGAGATCCAGGCAACTTCAGTTGTGTGCTGTTGTGCTTTTGCAACTATGACTTACCATCTTCACATTGTAAAATAGTTTTATGGTTGCTTGTCAGACTGTACTACAGTGTGTGGTGCATAAGAGTATCTAGGGGATTAAGCAGAGAAATGTATTTATACTTTTTTGCTTTTTTTATTAGAAATGGCAGGATATCATCAAAGAAGTCAAGTTTCTACAACAGCTGAAGCACCCAAACACCATAGAGTATAAGGGCTGTTACCTGAAAGAGCATACGGCGTGGGTAAGTGATGTGACGTTCAGGTCTTCACGAGCAGAAAATGTGTGGTACAGCAATCAAATATTCAGTACATGCAGTGTCTTTACGTGCAGCAGTATTCATCCCATGCTGCCTCTAGTCCCTTTCATCTGAAGAAGCTTCCAGGTAGTTTAAAGGGAATAGATATTTAGGGTATTGGATCAAGTCCCTGCTTCTCTGAGGCAGGCTTCTGTGTTCATGCAGACTAAACAATTATTGTGGAACATCCCCTACAATATCTCCCCACAAACTTTGCGGTGCCTAAACCTTCTTTACAACGGTGAAAGATGTCTTGACGTTACTTGAGTGTTTGGAGCATTTTATTTTGTTCATTGCTTATTGTATTTCTTGCAACTTAAGGTTTTATTTGCTTCTACTCTTTCTCAGCCATTCAAGTAGTAACTGTTTGTGGGGGAGTGTCTACCCTGTTATTTAAAAGCATGTATTTTTTTTTTCTTGCAGTTGGTTATGGAGTACTGTCTAGGATCAGCTTCCGATTTGCTAGAGGGTAAGTTTTATGTAGTCTTTGACTTTCTTTTTGCTAGTGCACCTTCTGAGTATAGTGGGAGGCTGTTTTCTCACAAACTGGTATTTTGCAGATGGTAGAGGCAGTCTGTCTATACCACTCCATTCTGTAGCTAGAATGCTTGTGTTTGTGATACCAAGGGTAAGCTGAGATTTTCCCAGGAGGCCAGTGCTACGTATAGTTGGCATACACATTTATACCTTGTAAAACAAAGGTATAAACGTGTGTAGCTATGTTCCTATAATTTCTGCCTTCTTGATGACTGAAGCAGTCTGCCCATTTTCTGAATATCCGTAATAAAAACCTGCAAAGATCACCTTTGTCCTTGTCTTGCAATTTGTAGGAATAATCACAGATGGTTTTATAGAACAAGAGACTGGTGACCTCAAAACTAGAAGAACACCTACAGAGGAATAGGGAATCTAAGCCAAAGTTTGCAAAAACTAGTACTCCTTGTGGGCCGTATCTTTTGTATCTAAGATATGGTTGGCCAAAGGCACATGCTGGTCATATGTAGGGAGATACGGAAGGTGCTTTGAGGCATCTCTTCGTAGCTGGTATTCATCACTTTCCTGATTTTTTTTTTTTTTGTCTTCTGGGGAAAAAAAAGTGGCAAGTTTTCCTTGCTAAGGACCAAATGAGTATTTAAATTACGTTTGGCAAGCTGCACTCAGGTGTATCGCCTGGTGTTAACAGTTAACTGTTGGCCCTAACAGGAATGTGAAGGAAAATGTGGTTTCCTATGGTGTGAAATACATGCATGGGCTGTGCACAGACTCAGAGCTGCTAATGGCCATCAGGCCATAGGAGACTAATACAGTGAGGACGATGTTCACCTCATAGCTGGCAAAATTGGTGGGGTTCCTTCTCTTTCAACACACTTTTTCAGGAAAAGCTCACACTTACCTTCTTGCTTTTTTTTTTTTCCTTGATGTTTATTTTATTTTTCCCCCCGCTGTAGTTCACAAGAAACCACTTCAAGAAGTGGAGATTGCTGCCATCACCCACGGTGCCTTGCAGGGGCTGGCCTACCTGCACTCTCACTGTAAGATCCATAGGTAAGGCTAGAGCTCCTTGCTGCTTAGATGTCCTTCCATCTCCTGCTCTCTGGGATCTGAAAAGGCTTCGCTGCGTTTACGCAACTTCAGTAAAGGTTATCCTACCAACGTTTTCTCTAATGGGCTTGTCAGCACTCTCCTGATGCCAGGGTGGGTGTATCAGTAAAAGTGATGGGCTGTTGAGTACCTTTTTTAAAAGTAGTTTAGCGTGGCCGTATTCAGTGCTGAATTCTCTTCCACGTTAGCGATTTTTCTCTGTGGACCTTGGTAACAAAGAATACACCTGAATGGCTGACTGGCAGGAAAATATCACCCTAAATTTGCCAAATAAAGTGGAGTGATAAAGCTAGACTATTTTTAAGACTAGACATTTTGAGAATTTTTTGCATATGAGTAAGTAAAACTTTATGCTTTCAGAAATCAGTCAATTAAAGTGTAAGTCAATGGTAAAACTACCTTAGGAGGAATCGGAGCATGCTGGCAGGGGAGGATTTTATGACAGGCTGCTCGTGGATGCCGGCTCCTAGATCTGTCTTTCATTATGTGCTATTTTTCAGGAGTTTGGATTTTTTTGACTCATTTGTCAACAAATGTTCTCATTTTATGGAGGTTTTCTTTGGGGTATTACTGATATGTCAGGGACTTGTGAAATGGGTGAGAACTAGATTAGGGTGATGTGAGTAGGGAGTCATCGGAATGAGGCAACCTGAAGCTAATTTATGGGGCTGAAAGCCTCTTTGTAGCCTGTGGGACAGAAAGTTGATATATCTGAGACTGAGACAGTGAGGGATTTTTAGAGAGACAGGAATTATTTGTCACTTGTTAGAATAACTATTTGGGGCATTCTACACATGGTTATTAAATCACCTTTAAGTGAAATATTAATTTAAACATGAATGCCAATTTATGAAATTGAAATAAGATGAATTTTGATCGGCCCTTGGCATATGTGCCCTTATTTGAGCATAAAAATACCTGTTTTGAAATATTTTACATGCTTTCAAAGTACATTGAATTCTTACTTACAGTAAATGATTCCCTGTATGGACATTATTGAGAATTAGTTTTTCTTGATACTTATTAGAACTTTCTAACATAAAAAGTTACCTTACTGTTGCAGCTTGTGGAGAGTGGCCCTAAGTTTCTGCTAGAAGTACGACGCAGGTCTTTCGACCTAGCAGGTTTTCTTCCAAGGGGAGAAAGTTCTGAGATGGGAAGGCAAGTTTTCGTCCTCAGAAAAGAGGACCATCAGGAGGCTTCTAGTTTTCTGATAGATGTCGTGTCTTGGAGAGGTGAAAAAGTGCCATTTCCCAGCTTCGTCGCTCAGCGATGAGGAGTGCCGTGCGGACGGGCACAGCTACAGGGATGCTGCCCACCTGCAGGAAAACCCCGCGCTCGCCTCTGCCGCAGGTTCCAGCAGCACTGGGAAAAGTAAAGCAACCGCCGAGTGAGAAGGGACCAAAGCTGGCAGCTGGGGCTTCCCTGCCCCACAGCAGGGGAGGCGAGGCGAGCGTGACCTAGAATGGAGGGACACCTTGTGGAGATGCAGGAACAAAGCAGGTCTCTAGTCGCACCTCCCCGAGCGCTTCTGCCACCAGTTAGCTCTAATGTCAAGGAGGAGATTATTTTCTGTTTGATTGCAGGCACAAGGCAAGCCTGAGTTAGCAGGTATGCTCGCCAATACCTAACGTGGCCGCCGAGTCCTCTGTTGATTGTTGGACAGTGAAGGTAGCAGTGGAGAGGACAGCAAAGAGGACAACCCGTGCTGTCTCTTGTACTTTTGAGGTGTGCATTCTTGCACGTAGAAGCTATCTTTAGCACTTGTCCTCTAGCAAAAGTGGCTGATGCACAGACCCAAAACATGAAGACATGTCAGGACGTGTTTCTGAGTAGCACATGTGCGCAAAAAAAATCCATGATGCTAGTTTTGAAGTGGTACTGTCCCGGGAATGGGGGAATAGAGGTTCTGACTCCAGCTCTGCTGCTGAAATACTGTAAGTAAATTCCTGTCCCTGTGGCTCTCCTTAGCCCAGCTTCACCTATCCTGTGCGCTGCCCTGTGGAGAATGCCAAATTTAAAGGATCTTTCAGCTTGCCTGTTTCCTGGATCTACAGTGATACTGGATTTGTATCTGATGCAGAAATCGTGCTTCAGCTGTTGTACGATAATTCGGTGCATGCTCTTCCTCTGCAGCAAATACGAGATAGCTTTGTTTCCCTTCCCATTTATCTAATTAACTTGGTTTTCACAGAGTCGGAGTGTGAGTGTCTTCGGCAATACACAGTAACTTGTTTGTGTTGGAGGTCTGCTACTGCTGCTAAGTGGCGTCGGTGTTTAAGGACTTGTAGTTAAACAACAGATAAGGAAAGCTGATACTTTTCTCGATGCTTTTTTTTTAATAAAATACCATCTCTTCAAAAAATATCGTGTAAAGAGACATTCCTGACTGTATGGTATATACAGCCTGGCTGACAAGGGATCCCTTGCATACACTCCATTTATGTTGAGGGTCTGCCTTTGCACAAGCAAGTATCTTTGCCCGTGTAAAGACATCTGTGGCATACCGAGTGTGCAATTTTCCCTTTGTTATGGAAGTGCCGTATCAGGGTTTTAAGGAACTTTCACCATATTGTGATTTTCAGCCGGCAATGTGTAAAATGTAAATGTAAAAGCAAGCCTCCTTCTTTTATATGGGATGGCTGGAAGAAAAAAATTACTTCGGGTATAACAGACGAATCCACAGAAGTCCTAGGTATTAGAGGTAGATGGTGCTTAGGTGAGTTCCTAACTTTGAATCCCTAACTTTGAATAGGGTCATTGCCAAGTGTCTTAGAAGGTATGCAAGCTGAGTTAACCTTTCTTAGCATTTTGTGGGCAGTTGATTTGAAATTAACCCGCTTACTGCTGGAATTTTGAAATTTATGGTGTCAAAAGTGCTGAATGTATCTTGTATTACCTTTTGTATTGCAGTAGCTTCATTACCATTAATCTCCTAAACATACAAATTATCTGAGAGTTGTAGGAAGGATAAGATAAGGGAGCCTAGGGCATTTGAAAGATGAAAAGTCTGGTATCATTTAAGTTGTCACAGCTGGGTATTAGGATACAACTCTCCTGGATCTTGGTTTAGGACCTCTGCCTTGCAACCATGGCTCATCTCCTCTTCCCTCACCCCCTGCCCTTTCTGGGTGCAGCCAGGTTTCCATTCTCCAAAAAGCCATGTATCCGATTTTTCTAGCTTTCTGTAATAGTAGATTTTTAAATATTCTCAGGTTTTTATGAATGTTTAATTGAGAAAGTTAGTGGACTTCTGTGTGTGTTTGAATTTTTGAAAGTTATGCTACTGTAACCAGGAGTATACCTCTCTTTTGTTCTTTTAAAGGGATATTAAAGCTGGAAATATTCTTCTAACAGAACCAGGTCAAGTGAAGCTAGCTGACTTTGGGTCTGCATCTATAGTCTCCCCTGCCAATTCTTTTGTGGGAACGCCTTATTGGTGAGTAAAACCTGCAATACTTCAGTCCTTTAAGAAGGCTGCTCTCTTCCATTTCCAGTGTTTCACCGTCTGAAAATAATATCTGGCATAAAATCTTTATTAACCAAGCAGTTTTCTTAAAATTCCTGTGTCCAGCTCTTCAGGAAATGTGTTCTTTCTCAGTGCCCATGAGTAGAGGTAGGCTGTGCAGCACTTTGAAATGGCACCAGTTAATGTTTCGACTGTTGGCTTAAAAATTATTAACATTTGCCATAGGTAATGGAACTAAGACAACCACATGGCGAAAGGCAATCCTGTTAATCTGACCACGCAGGCTGGAAGTCACACAGCTACTTAAATTCTGTTTTGAAGAAACTTGCATAAGGGTCACTTGAGTTGCTTGGCATTCCTAACATAGTGGACCAGCATAGCTTTATGCTCCACTTATTTTGTGGCAGACACCCCAGGCATTGATGGGAGGTCACCTATCGCCCAGCCTCTGAACAAGTCCATTTGGCAGGAAGCCTGCTTCATCTTTGAAGAACAAAAGTTAAGAGACTGAGTTTTTGCGGGCTGGGCCCGCTGCTTTTTCCCTGCCCCCCACCCATCCCTTTATCCTGGACCACCGTATTTCCCCACTGTTCCAGATTTCCCTGTTCCTTTCATAGCTACACTCACAGGCTGCATATATCTGCTGGAAAATTCTCCTGGTGTGCCAAAGGAAAACCCACCATCTCTGGTGAGAGTGAAAGTGATGCCTTTAGGACTCTCCCAGCCCTTGCTGTCTGCCTGCAGGTACAATGCCTTTGAGATTGGTGTGGGTCTCCCATGTGCCAGCATGTTGCGCTAACAGCAAGATGATCAGGTTGGCCTCTTATTTACTTTCCTTTCTTAAACTGCCTCTTGGAAGAGTTGCTAGTGCAGGCAAGCATTGTTTCATTTCAGCATGGCTTTACTCAGCTCCATGCTGGCTCTTAAGTTCTGGTCCGCTGGGCTGCTGAAGATAATGAAGCCGTCTCATTTTCAGCTATGTGCTGGGAGTCACCATTTGTATCCCCTAACCCGCATGTCTTGCACTGTGGTTGGTAGGATGGCACCAGAGGTGATCCTTGCTATGGACGAGGGACAGTATGATGGAAAGGTGGATGTCTGGTCTCTTGGGATCACGTGTATTGAGTTAGGTGAGTAAATACTTGGCAGCTGAGATGAATAACTAACTGTCTCCAGTATTTATTAGGAAGTCCTGAAAAAATGGAAGATTCTTATTCCTCGTAAGTTGTTGGTTTTTTTTTCTTTAAAAAGCCTGACTTGGACAGCACTGACAGTTGAGTTAAATCTTTTACTCACTGGCAAATCAAGAGCAAGCCGCTAATGCTGCTGTGCTTTAATGTTAATCTGGTATGCTCAGTTATTTTATTCCCTTAATAACTAGAGGGTTCTAGTCTTGTATGAGAAGAAACTATGGTTTCTAGCCTGTGTTTTTCAAGCTGGGTTTTGAGAAAACTGTTCCAGCTATTATGTCAAGGGAACTGGTGTCCTAAGAATTGTGTCAGAAGGGACCTACGTTTAATTTTCAATTCTTCTTACTTCCCCATTCTCTGAAACAAATATCTTCAATCTCAGCTGAAAGTTTGTGACATGAATCAGCGTGGACAGGTTCTTTACATGAGAAGAAAAGGGTTTGCACTGCAAAGGGCAAATGATACACATCCACACAACCTGAAGCAGATGTAGATGTGATAGCAGGTATACAGAGCAGATGTGTGCACTGTAAGTTTGAATATTGACATTGCATGTGCTGAATAGATTATTTCCAAAGATACTTTTGATAAGGATTACATTTAACAGCAGTACATCAAGAATTTATTGTGAGGGCAAGTTCACTGAAAATGTTATTTATAAATGTTTAATCAGCAGAAATACATATGAGACAACAGAGGAGGACATACAGAATGGGAAGAAATGTTGACCCCTGTATGGGGACAGTAATGGTGTAAATGACCAGTAACTTCCAACATTGTATTTCATGTGCCAGCGCTAATGCCTTGCTGACACAGTCTGCATTTTGATATAAAGAATGCAAAAATCAGAAGTTCTATACTTCTGTCGTCTGCACGGCACTGACCTTTTTTTGTCCTGTGGAGTTTAGACTAGTCGGTGGTAGAATAGATATTTTGCTACCCTACGTAGGCACTGAGTCTTGATACTAGAATTTCTACGAAACTTTTCAGTCCAGAACCTCAAAACCATTTTACATAGTTGATGGATCGGCTTTTTTTTATATTACCTTTTTGAGAAGTATTAAATTTATTTTCTTTTTTTATACTTTGAGCTTTGCCTTTGCATGATTCCATGTCTGAACATGGGGTTGGGTAGCAGTGGGAGGAAATCTCTTGTTGAGTACCACTTGGCTTTCTTTGAATGCTGATGCCTTAATTTCTTGTGTAGCCGAAAGTTAGTAGTGCTTAAAGAAAAGAAAATGCGGTGGTTTGCATGCATGCTGCATGTCAAGGACAAGTGATTGCTCTGACCTGATGTGAACTTAAAAATTCTGGCATCGTTGGCTGATTGGCATGACTGACCTTAGATGGTGGTGAAAACTAGCCTTTCTCAATTTCTGTGTGAGATTCGCTGCGCTCCTGAAAGGTCAGGGGCTGGTAGGTAGGTGTCCTCTCGGTGCAAGAACTAGGAAGAATTTTAGTTAGAGGGAGCTAACGACACATCTGGCAAACTGTCCCACTTGCAGGTGACTGCCGATGGCAGACGAAACAGGCAGCCACTCTTTTCCCTTAATACAGGTGCTACAGCAGCCAAAAGATCTGTAGGGACTGATACATAAATTTCCTAGCCCAGACATGCTGTATGTCTAAGCTGTGGTTTCATCAGCTTCTGCTGATTTTACCTTAGCAGGTCAGGTGTTGCAGTTAAGGTAAAATTTACTGGGAAATTTTCCTTATTTGCATCCTCTTCTCTTTGGATTTTGTCATCCCCCCTTCAGGTGAATAAGAGCTGTCCTTGAGTGGTTGTCCTGGTCTAACCTAGAATATGAAAATAATTAGCTTAAATGTGTTGAGGACAGTAATGAGCTATTGATTTAGCAGTGATACCCTGCTCATACTTTCATATCTTTCTCCTTTTCTTTCCAGACTGCCTTATCACACCTTTCTCTTCTCTTTCTAGCTGAAAGGAAGCCTCCACTTTTCAACATGAATGCAATGAGTGCCTTATATCACATAGCCCAGAATGATTCCCCTATGTTACAGTCAAATGAATGGTAAGAGAGCTATTACCAGATTTTTATTATATTTTTCCCTGACAATGCTCTGCGACACTCTCTGCATGGTTTAAGTCTGACAAGAAAAGTGTTTGTTGCGGTGTAGTGATTTGACTGCATTCTCCAATAATGCTCCCGTGTAGGCAGGCTCAATTTTGACCTTCTGTCACTTGGGCTGTGCTACAATCTAAGTGTGTGGAGGTGTTAATTATGGGGCTATAGATGCTGTAGGAATTAAAATATTCTTGGATGCATTAAGCCAGCCATAGCTCAGCATCAAAGTTTCCAGCTGCAAAAGATCCCTGACAGAAGAATTCGTAGCGTTGTAGTGCAGCTGAAATGTGGAGAAAGGGAGCAGAGACACACATAGAATATAGAAGTAATTAGATTTTTTTCGGTGAGTGACTTCAAAAGTCATCAGAGCTCTGTGGCCAGTAAATACTCCTCATGCTACAGGCTTGTTCCAGAATCTGAGCCTTGATACAAGAATGCTTTGTTGTTCTGTGGGAGCAAAGGGGTTACCCCGTTTCCTATTCTCTGTACTCAAGACCGGAATGTAGGTATCGAGCGACGCTTGGCAGAGTCTGCAGATGGCTTGAAACAATAGCTCCTGGGGAGGCGTGAAGTTCCCCCAGGTACATTGCTAGGCATTTAAACAGCATGATTATTTCACTGCTAATAATTTTATCAAAACCATTCCACTTCAGTTTCCTTATTTCATCTTTGCTGTTTTGTCCATTTTTCAAGATTCAAAGAACTTGGTCTCATATTTGCACCCTAATACCCATGTTGTTCTGTGCAGAATTTGCAATGCAGAGTAGAGACAACTTGTGAATACAGTATGAGAATTGCTATTCTTGATTGCAAGCAGTTTGTTTAGAGTCACCTGTTTGCTCTCCGTGGCTTTGAGAACACAGGGAGTAAGCAAGGTGCCTCTTATGCTGTTTTCAAGTTCAGGGGCACCTTCCTTAGGTGCCACTTGGTAGAAGAAAAAACAGATTGGTTTTCTTTTTTCCAGTTCTGATACAAGCTCATGTATAGCCTAAAGTTTTGCTGAACTAAGCATTGCATCAAGATGCTTTACCGAGTCAGTGTTACAAATGGTGGGAAGCTTCTGGAGAATAGAGCGCCAGCTCATCAGCTCACTTAAGTGTATTTCTGGAGTTACCAGTAATTTCATTGTCATCTAGTTTGAAGTAGTTGAACTAAAGTTGGAAAATAGTGACTGGTACACATAGTTCTTGCTTGGTTTTCAGTTTGTGTTTGGGGATAATTGTGTGTCCATGTTTGTTTCAACAGTCTGTAACTGATGGGATCAACTTAGAATTTGGAAAAGTCTTAATTTCTCTGCCCTAGAACTTAAGAACAAGTTAGTCAAGGTTTTTCTTTTGCTTTGCACTAAGAAGTCTGCGTATATTCCAGATCCTTAAGCTTCTTTTTCATTTAGAACCTTTTGTTTTTTTGATTTACAGGTCAGACTCCTTTAGGGGATTTGTTGATTACTGCTTACAGAAAATACCTCAGGAAAGGCCATCGTCAACAGATCTGTTACGGGTAATTTTTCAAGTCTTTTCCAGAAATTTGGGAAAAATATGCTTGTCTACCAAAATAATTCTAAAAATGGTGAACAAATATTCACCCTTGAAAAAAAAAAAAGTTGATTTTGCTCTCATCTGAATCAATAGAGTATTGGGGTCTTCTAAAAGAGTATTTTAGGATGGCGTATTTTAGGCTGTTTAACTTTGTTTCCTGACTTTGCCTATTATGTCAGTCATAATTCTCTTTAACATGATGCTCAAGAGCCAAACTACTGGAGTAAAGTAGAGGTAGGCTGTGTGGTAAAAAAGTTCCACAGTTGAGTGAGGAGTTATTTGAGGGAGCAGCCCAGCACCCTGCCCCTCTTACTCCCCAGCGCTCTGCAGAGGTTACATTTGTGTTAGAGCACTTGCAAGCCTGATGGGATAGTGGTGTGAGTAACAGGGTTTTTTAGCTGAAGGAAGGACGGAGGGGGTAGAAGGATTTAATATTTAGTTGTATTTTTTTTATAATCCCCCCCCCCGCAAGACAATGCTGTACATAGTTTAACTGAAAGGGCAAACAGGTCTAGAGCTGCGTTGGTTAAATCTGTGCTGCAGAAGTGAATTCCAACCAGTAGTTTTCTGTGTAGGTAGGACTTGGGAGCGTGTTTCCTACTGCTTTGATGAAGAAGGCATTTTCACCAGCCTCTCTGCTATACTGTGCTGTCAGTAGGGTGCCCTGGGTTGTGACCATGCTGCGCTATGTGATCTCTGAGAGCAGACAGAAATGAGGGAGGAAACTGGAGCAACTGGGCAACCCCGTTCACCCCCTAAATGGGGGCAGAGGGAGTGGGGAAACTGTAACTTAGTGCAGCTTGTGTGAAAAGGAAGACCTTTTTGGAGCAGTTATGCATTTTTGTGTAAAGTAATGTAACTGTTAACTTGCTGGTGCTCCTTTTTTTTTTTCCTTACCTTCTCCAGTAAGAAAAAGCATTATTTTTCTGTCGTGTAACAGGCAATACTTGCTACTAAGCTTACATGCAATTTCAGTAAGATTTAAGGCTTGTAATTTGCTACAGGCTTTCTCTGTGGAAGTGATAGAAAATCTAAAAAACCATTTTAATTGCTAGTCAAAAATTTAGACTTAACCAGTCTTCATAAGATGCATAGGCAATAGCAAATCTTTTGCAGAGCTGGTAGTACTTTGAGAATTATACTCCACATGGTCAGAGGCTTGAGCTCTTAATAAAGATTTACAGGTAGTGGCTGATTATTTAAAGGAACATGGGTATTAGAGATGGAAAGAGACTGAATGACCTACGTTTATCTCCTGGCCAGCGCAGGAGCGTTCTGTGTGGAGTGCTCTGAACTGTCCTGTCTTGTCCTTTTTTTGACAGATGCAGGTGAAGTTCAGGAAGGTTATCTTGACCTTTTTACCTCTAGTAATGCTAATGTGAGCATTATTATCATAATGTGAGATTAATTCTTTATCGCTTCATACCTTTTGAATATGTATCTCTTCATGATCTTCCTGCCTGTTCTCGGTTCAGCTCTTGGTTTTGCTCTGTTCTTGTAAACCGTTCATTTGGGCTTTTCTGATCCACTTTTTGGTTTGGTTTATTTGTCTGAAGCTCCTCTGGCTGGACGGGCATTTCTGTCATTAATAACACATGATGAACGTTACTCCAGGTGTGGTTACATGGGAGCTGGGAAAGGCTGGCTCTGCCCTGTGGTGTTGCAACAGGAGGTTTTGATGCTGTGTTCTTTTGACTGCTGTCTAGTGCAGAAGTCCTGACCAGCTTACTGATTAATGCCAACTGTAGATCCCTCCTCATATTTTTACTTACCAAACATACCTTGCATCTATTTTTTTTTTACTGTGTATTTCCAGACACCGCATTTCTTCAGCTTCTCTCTTTAGTCATGCAGTGTCGCACTTCTGCCCATGTTTCTGATCTCCATTTTCCAATCATTCAATCATGTTCTTGTCCTAGATGGGTTTTGAGCAATTCTTCTTGATTCGTTAACATCTTGTAACACATTTGCTGCTTTTTTATATTCATGTGTCCTATTTAGTTGTTACAAATAGCACTAACAGGATAGACCTAGGTTAACTTCCTCCTAATCAAACCACCAAACCCCAAAGTTGTTTATATCCCTTTAAGAGTTTCTATACTGAACCCAGTTAATGAGAACTTGTTTTGGAAAGAACTTGTATGATTTTAGAAAGTGCCTTGTGTGGGTTCATAATTGCCAAGAGCGTGTACGAGGGGGACCTGTGCTAGGAGTGATATGTCCAGAGTTTGCCAAAGTTTTGTCAGTGAATCATAAATCAGTTCCAGTTTAAGTCATTTGATTTAAGTTTACCTGAGAAGTATAGGAACTGCTTATAACTTCAAGGGTTTTGTTTGGAAAATTCAGGAGCAGCCTTCCGTAAGAAGGTAGGGATGTGTGAAATCCTGTCCAGCCTCTTTTCCATCGGGCTTTTATTTTTTTTTTTAAGTATTTCATGTCTTTAAAATTGATTAGTGGCCCTGCTATTCCTCTGGTTGCGTACATAGCTGCTGGTAAGAATTGCATGGCATGCTGCTGTTCCACACCAGGTAAACAGGACTCAGTTTTTCCTTAAATATTTGAGCAGAGGAATTGCTATCTCCATTGAGTGTTTTGCTTAATTTCCACAGTAGGTTAGATTGCTGCTCTGTGTCTACCTGACAGCCTTTTCCTGCTGTTTTTTGTTCTAAGGCTACCATTCAGCCTTTGTTTTATGGCTTCTCATGTTGCTCTTTCAGCACAGTAAAACGCATTTTCATGGATGTGTCTGAGCCTCTTGGTTCTTGAAGGGAGAAATCGAAACCCTGCGCTCTTTACTGAACAGCCAGCTTTGCGCTCGCTTCTGTCCTTGCTTTAAGCCTGGATCATATAGAATATTTAGCTCTCATGTCTTTGCTCTCCAGGTAAAGGCTGATGAACGAGCTTGCTTGTACTCTCTCTTCGGTGCCTGATGCATTTTTTTTTTCCTGTGATACATTTGTGCTGTGGCACATAAGCAGCGTTTTGTTTTCTGGTTCTGCTTGCAGCACCCTGACAATCCTTTGACCAGCTAATAGGTTTATGCTGTGGGTTTCAGAATGATTCATTCATGTGGATTGGCAGCCTTTCTGCTCTCTAGGAGTAGTGCAAATTCATTGAAGGATATGATTTCATGAGTACCTTAGGTTGGAGTCTGTGCAAACAATTGCAGCTGCGATCTTATGCTTAAAAACATGTATATTCAGACTTTTTATGTGGTTTGTGGGCTTTCAGAACAGTACTCTAGATGTTCCTTCCTGCAGTAGCTCTCCCTAAAGCTTGTTAGATCGTAAGACTGAAGATCTCTTTGTCTTTTGAGGGCTTTTCACTTGAGTGCAGTAAACAAGGATAGAGCAAATTTGTTGTGGCCACATTTTCTTAAAGGGAACCGAATTTTGAATGAGGTGTTTGAGAATTAGTTCAGTTCCCATTCACTATTCCAGATAAAAATAGTCAAATGACTGTAGTGATACTAAAATGCAGTTGAAATTAAAAAAAAAAACACACTAATGTTTCTGACTTCAAAGCAAATTTTATAATTGCTTTTAATTTTAAAAACTTTTCCCCTTTTTTTGTCAGTTTTCTTGACCCAGGAGACTTGTGTTCTGTTTGTCACCCTTTCAGCCAATGTACTACCTGCTTTTAGACTAACTTCTTTCTCCTTTTGAGATTTTTTTTTTTTTCTTCTTGCAGTTTGGAAAAAGTGTACAGATTAAGTCCTTTCAGGCGTCATTTCTCAGAGTTGCACGGTACCTAGCAGAGTGGTGACTACATCTTTTATATGTAGTTAAAAAAAATTAGATAATATAAGTAAGTAGTCAGAATTGTATTTTCATTGTGCAAGAGCCTTTTGGTTTTCACTTCTGTGCATCTGCCCTACAGTTTCCATGTGGTCGCATTCTAATATTTGAGTAGTGCTTGAATACGAGGCACATCATCTTCCCGGTGAAATGAGTATTTACACTGTTAAAGAATCTGCATGAACAAGTAGACACTGGACACATAGGGTGGATTTAAGTTCAGGATCATTGTTCCAAACGCATTAGTGTTTTCTAAAAATTATCTACAATGCGATAAAAATGGTTACCCTTTTTCTAATCATAGATAAGCTGCAGATTGCTGCTGTTTACAGAGGAATGAATGGTGGTTATCTGCATTAAGGAGCAGAAATGATTCATTTTGCTTCTGTGTGAAATGATGTTTAGAACTTTCAGCTGTAATTCAAAAATAAACACCATCACTACTAGCAAAAAATTGATAGTGAAATGACTAGCTGTCCCCATTAGCAACACTCAAATGCACAACAGTTGGAAATCAATTAAAAACAGGAAATAAGCCTGTGGCATGATACTTTCCATGTTTGTTTATAAATCGTTAAAAGAAGATCAGCTCATCATTTCGACTTTTTTGTACATAAGACTTGTGTCTTCAGGAGGTCCGGGTTTCATGTAACGGTTACTCCAGTTACAGTTGGATGTATTAGTTCTTGAACTTGAGGGATGGCGACACATCTAGCACGGAGATGCTTTTCCCTCTGCCGTGGGACCCTCAGCTCACAGGAGAGCTGTGAGGCCAAGTGGGCAGACGTGACTCTCCTGAGAATTTGTCTGCAGGTGGGGTACAGCTCTCTAACAAAAGGCCATCATGGCATTTGCAATGCAGGGCAGAGAACACCTTTTTTCCCCATTTCTCTCTTTCGTTGTTAACGTTTCTAGAAATGTGCAGAAGACGTTTGTGCCTTCGGGCTGTCTCCCGTGATACTTATTAAGCGACAAACCCAACCGTGGTGATCCTATGTAGAATTTTGGCAAATGTATACTCAGACTGTCTACTTTAGTGAAAGGTTGTAAGGGAGAGGTTTCATACTCTGCTGCCAGTTGCACAGCTCAGGTAAAACGTGTCTGATAAATCAGAGAAAAGCCTTTAATCATGTACTTAAACTCCATTGAAGAATTTATTGTGAAGTCTGCGCTTAAAACCTGTGCTGCTAGTACATCCTTAGCAGGAGTTAGTAAGAAACTGATTTTACTTTTAACTCTGGCTACAAATGCTTTAAGTATAAATAAACCTTGCGGTCTTCTTACTGGTTTTATGTATGAATCAGAACAGATAGATGCAGGATAAACCTTTGCATGTAGCTTAGGCAGGTAATCTTGCATAATCAGGATTGATTCTTCTTTATCCTTTATGCATTTTGTTAATTCGAAGTCATCTGCCTTTGTAAGGTGTGAAGTGGTACATCTGGTACATAGTATGCTTCAGGTGAGCGAGCTCAGGAAGGGACAAACAGCTCTGTTGCCTGGAGAGCTTGGAAAACCTGACCCCCGTCCAAACTGTTTCACTTCAGACAGAAAAGTGACTCCAAGAGTCAGGGGCAAAGAGAGCTTGTGAAGGCTCAGCTTCTGCACTGATCTGCCTGCGCGCCCGCGTGCGCACGCACATCGGTTTCAAGTAGCAAAGTGGGGTTTGCCTTACTTCTTTCCTCTGCATTTGACCGAGTGCTGTGCGTAAGCGGATCTTCTGACTTCTGAACAAAACGTTTTGCAGCTTACGCATCAAAACTCGCAGGGTATTCGACACAGTGACGAGCAGGGTCAGTGTAATCAGTGCTGAGTGTGTTTGGAGTCTTTCATGGTGGGTATTGCCAATTATTGAATATGAACCGACTAATTACTGAATATGAACCGTCATTTCAGGTGTCTCTTAAAAAGTCGCTGTGTCCCTGTTTTTACATCAAACGCTAGTCTCATGTCTGAAACAATGTGTTTTATTTCCTTTAATTTAGCATGATTTTGTTCGCCGAGACCGACCACCAAGGGTACTAATAGACCTCATACAAAGGACAAAAGATGCAGTACGTGAATTGGATAACCTTCAGTACCGGAAAATGAAGAAAATCCTTTTCCAAGAGACACGGAATGGCCCACTGACCGAGTCTCAAGAAGAGGAGGAGGTACTTCTATTTTGTTACCCCATTTGCGCTGTTATAAATAATTTTAGGGCAAGTGAGATGTTCCTGCCCTTAAGGGGGCAGAACAAGCACAGCCTAGGTGTGGATGCAATCAGTGTTGTTGGAATATCATCTGGATCAGCAGAGGGACAGGATAGAATAAATGTCACCCGTACTCAGTGTTAGATGTGTGTTTATTGGCAGCTTTAAAATTTTTTACAGATGCTGACCTTTCTTCTAAAAGCTTTAGGGAAGAAACTGGCTTGGAGGGAGATTCTCTGTGAGAAGTGGTTCACGGTCCATGTGAAGGAGGGTCTGTTGACAATCCAAACTTTATAGTCTCAGAAGCACAATCAAGACCACTTGATTAATATTAATATTTTTTCAATTACCATAACTTTCCTGTAAAGTGGTCTATCATGAGCTGAAAAGCAAATCACCAAATTAGTATGACTTATTTTTTTTAATTCTTTAATATTCAAGAAAAAATAGTAAAGATATAAAATTCAGCTTCAGTTTAAATCTTACAATAAACAACCCACTTAATCAGTGTATGATCATTGATGCTAACTGTGGCTTAGAGAAGGAAACCAGTCATTTTTCAATTGATGAGTTTAGATGTAAATTAATGTCATTTGGTACAGGCACATCGGATAAATCATGACTGGTTCTCAACGAAAAAAATGGACAGACAAATTGATATTTGTATTCCTTTTTGCTGCAGTATAGCCAGATAACATGCAGTTGAGACTCCCAAGCTCAACTTCTATTCAGGGACTTGGTGTTGAGGCTTGTGTGTGTCAAATGTTGCTTTAAAGCTAAACTAGAGCACTGGTTTAAGAAATTGGCCAGCTTGGGTGTCAGAAGGAAGGGACTGGCACTTAGCACTGTCCTTCATGTAGAAGGAGATGCACAAAAGGAGCAAGACCAGCAACCACTGTGATTAAAGCTACAAAGTGCTTCTGTTCTAACCCTCCAGCTAGCCAACTTCTAAACCTTGAGCTTAGTTGGGGAGTGAGGGGATTGTCAGACTTTTGCACTGAAATCTCCAAGCTATGTCTACCTGTGTGTGAAAAGCTGTTAGGAGAGCGACAGGGTAGGAAAACACAAGGGAGTGGGTTTCCACTTGGCTGTTCAGCAGATCCAAGCTCAACAGCTAAGTAGGATACGTGTGGTAGTAGTTGATTCCATGGTGTAATTTGTTGTGCCTGTCCCCACCTCTCAAAAAAAAAGGGGGGGGGGTGGGAAGAGATTGCATCCCCAGAATTAACACTAATGAAGCTCACGCTCTGCATGTGCCCAGCATGCTCTGCACTGTGTTTTACCAATGAGCTTGTGTACGACAAACGGAGGTTGTGTGGCTCGTGTGTCACTAACTTGACAGTGAAAGGAAAGCATAGCACGTGCTTCACATGCTGCTGAACTGGTTAACAGAAGCTGCTCAAGTGTAAATGCCACAAGACAGTTCCTTTTTTCTACCTTAGGCTTCCTAAGGTAGAAAAGGAGCATTACAAATCTTTAACACTGAAAATATTACTAATGCTTCCCTCAGAGCTCTTGCAAGAAAGTTAAGGTCATGTGAAAAGTATTTAAAGTCAGGAAGTCAATGTTAACATCGACTGTTGGTTATGAGGTTGCATATGCAATCTCATCTCTGTCCTTTGTGACTATACATTCATGAATTATAGCCATATCCTTACCTCAGATGCTTCATTATGTTCTTTCTTCTGCAACTTTATATAAGCATCCTAGAAATATTTTCATTCTCATGTGCATATGCTCACTTTAAAATAGTATTCTTTTGTATTTGCGTTTTTAAGTGCTCTTACACAGGATCTAAATGATCTGCTGATTGCTTAAAAAATAATCACACAATCAAACACCAATCTGTCAAGTCTGTCAATTTTATGTTTCTGTCGGTTTCCAACAAAATGAGTATCCTGTTAATCGATTTGTAATGTAATTCTCCCCGAGATCCCTTTGGAGGCCGGGACAAACTGCGTGCAGTGCCAAGCCATTCATTTTGATGAGTCAAGCCTATTTTCGGACCAGGAGCTGGAGGATTTTCAGAGTTCTCGGTCCTCACTGTGAACTTCTTACAGGCATCTTCAGTTCCATTAGTTAATTACAAAGGACTTGTCTCTCAGTCAGTTCAGATTAAGTGCATACTCTGTGATTACTGTGTTATAGGTATGAGTATGCGACAAGAAAAAAGGATGCTAACTTCTCATATTTGTCTGTAGAATCAAAAATATGTCTTATATGAGAAATATTTATTTACGTCTGTCTAAGTGGATTCCAATAATTTTAATCACTAACGATGCAGGCTCTTCTGAGTCAGCTGCTTAAAGGTGAATGAAGAACTTATCTTGCCTGAAAACACAAAGAGATTTTTAGTTTGATAAAATATAACTGCTGACTGCTTGGGACACGGAGGTTAAAACCTCTATACCCGTTAAGCACCACATGGTATTTATCAAATCATAAACAAACGGGTTCACTGTCTTACCTGTTTTCTGACCCACAAAATGTGTTGTAGCATACCCTGACTTGGAACATTGTTTTAATATAAACTTAGATTGCTCCTTTTAATTTTGAGACTCCTTCTACCAACCATCCAGTATTCCTGGATGTCTCCTATTCAAGCCAAAAGCCATGCCCAGACTTACTGATATGTGGAAAAAAACCTGGCTTGAAGCCTGATGCAGTAAGATTGCAGGGGAAGAGGCTAAAGCTAACTGCCCCATATGGAGTATTTAATAAGCCAGGCAGCCTTGAGAAATGTAGTTGCCAAAATAATGAGCAAAGAACCTTTAACTCTACGGAGCTGCCGTTAAAACAAACTTTGGGCACTGCAGGCACATGCTGAGCAGGTGATCTCCTGCAGTATTTGTAACTGGTGCCCCTTGTTTTATAGGACAGTGAGCATGGATCAAACCCGAGTAGGAAGATGGACAGTCTGGGCAGCAACCATTCCATCCCAAGTATGTCTGTGAGCACAGGCAGTCAGAGCAGCAGTGTGAGCAGCATGCAGGAGGTCCTGGATGAGAGCAGCCCTGAACTGGTCATGATGCATAGTGACGAGAGCACAATTAATTCTACTTCCTCCGTTGTTCATAAGAAGGTATGTTCTCTGGTGCTCTCCATAGCTTCCCGCAGTCCCTGCTATTGCTCACGTTGGCTCACCCGCGTAGGGCCCGACGATCAGTGTGCTGTGGTCTTGTGCTGAGCCATCTGCTGAGAGCAGGAGCTGGTACTGGGCTTGCCAGGATCAAGTTCTGTGTTGTGGTTTTGTTGTTTTTTTTTTTTTTTTTCTTTAAAAGCTAAACTGCATTTAAATAACCTCTCAAAACAGAAAGAAGCTGCTGATGAAAGGTAGCACTGTCAGTGTCTAGGCAGGGTTCACGCAGGCTTACTGCATGCCTCCTCACCTGGCCCCGCATGTGCACTTCATCTCTGCTTGTAACATCAGTCCTTGTTTCCTTGTGAATGATTTGTACTGTATTGTGTGGTATGGTGACAAGTGGTCACAGCAGCTAAGCTAACCATTTACCAGTCACAGTGTATGATTAAAATCTGCTTGCACTTGGATTTCCCTCATGAGAAGTGGAAGTGTGCAGAACTTTGGACCCTTCCCACGAGGTATGTTTTGAGTCAAGTTTCACTCAATGCTTTTCTGCTCTTTTGCTGCATGGTGTGATCTGTTGCCTTTCGTTTCTCAGTGCTAGATATCAAGCTAAAATTGTCTAGCTGTAAGTCAGCATCTAATCTAGGATTGTTTGACTAAAATAGTTTTGGCTTGGCCTTAGCAGTGTCCTTTGCTAGTGGGCAGTAAAACGTAGGTTGGTTGTGTGGTTGCATTTGCAAAGAGCTTCACGGTGTACATCTGCTTTTTGCCAGAGGAGTGTTTTTAACACTACAGCAGCATGAAAAGTATGAATTTTTCATTTGTAGGGCTATAGCAAAGCCTGGTTCGAACTAAATATTTGTTAGCCGTTTTTCCCCCTGAAATACAGCGTTTATGTAGTTGACTGAGCTCTCAAGACATTTTGTCTTCAACAAAAGATTGCCTTGCATATTTAAAGATACTGGCAGATAAGTTGCATAGTTTTCAGGGGTTTACATCTTTCTCATATACAGTTGCAATAGCACCTTCAGAGAAGACTTTATTTTCACCTTTCTAAAAAAAGTATTAGATGCAAAATGCTGGCCTGAGGAACCATCCTGAATGAAGAGCGGCGCAACTGATTTTATGGTCTGGGTGATTATAGTTGGAGCTTTTTCTCATTTTCTAGAGGCTTCAGAAATGTGTATTAATTTTTCTTTCACGTTGTTAAGTAGTCATATTTACGTATGCATTAAAATAGAAGTTTGAGGGGATTGATTTACACAATGGTCATACATTATAATGTTACTGACTGATCAGTGTCATTACAGTTGCTGAAAACAAAATGTGAGCCTCTCCCATCAGACACAAATTGCATTTGTGAAAGAAGTTGGGTTCCTACTTGGTTTAAAAATAATATTTTGTTTTATAGTGATTGCGTGGCACTTCGAAAGTACAGGAAGATTTCTGAGGCTATGAATTCAGTCCTCTTAGACTTCTGCGTAGCTGTTGTTTTAAGATTAAGACACTCGGCTGAGTAGAATGCATAAGCATGACACCACATGGAAGTTTTTATTATCTGAACAGGGTCTGTTTCACACTTGTGACTGAAGTATTGTAAAAGAAATCACCTGTAGATCACTTAAAGCAAGTATTTTAGGGTAATTTTGGAAGCACAAAAACCAGATCTTCCCCGATGGTCTTTACAAAGTAGTTAACAGTAGAGTGTGATTACTGCTCTGTGCAGTGGAGTGGGTATCTTCTCAGTTGGCAAATGTTACCCTCTCCTGTACGTATGCATAAGGTGAATTCAGACTATGTGTAGCAGGACATATTCCAGTCTGCAAATATATTGTTTTAGTTTAGTACGTGATTTTTTTTAATTCTCTTACTTTGGGGAATGCAGTTTTAAATGGCAAACTGCTTCATATGTATATTACGCATATATTAATACATGTGAAAATCTAAAATTGGAACAGGACATTTCAGAGGGCTTATACACACATACATCCCACTCTGTTTTCATGGTAAAGTTCCTTATTCTGAAGAAACTTCAGTTTGTATTTGTGCTTGCTTTAACCATGTTTCTATAAACTGTGATGAAGCTGATCCACACAACTTGTTTTTATTGTAGCAGGTGAGAAGTAGGGAGTGCTGAGTTTGGTAACACTCTGGAGCCTAATCACAAACAAAATGGAAAGGACGTGGGGTTCAAGTTTAAATCAAGCTTTTGTTTTGCATTTAATCGGCCTTTAAAGGCTAAAAGGAAAATACTGATGAACATAATTAGCCAGCTGTCTCCATTATGTGGGCACAGGGTCACATATGAGATTGTTTTGACATGGGGCAAATCAAAGTATTGTGTGAAGTCATGGTATTCCACACGTGTTAATTAACAACCTCCAGATGTACCAGACTGTGTAAAGTGACCAGGATGGCAAAACGATCCAGACTGTGTTGATCTTTGCGAGGGCTCAAAGCTCTAAGTGTCAGAGCCCTTCTGATTTCTCTGGACAACAATCCCAGAATGTCATGTGCAATTGTAAAATGTAGGATGAAAAAGTTTGCGGTCACGTGTGAGATGCAGTTCCCAGCCTTCAGCGCTTCGGACCACTGCTTGGTGCGAAGAGCCGGTCTGGAGCGGCGGTTACTTGTTGTAAATCCAGAGCAAACCTCAGGCGCTCGCTACATCACCCGTCTAGCGCTAGGCTGGGGGAAGCTTCGAGCATCCCCATCAAGCACCCCTAGCATCTATACTGTGACCAACTACTCTGAGACATAGGCAAAGCATAAGAAACAGCCTGATGTTGTTTACAAATGCTTTTACTACTTCTTTTTTTCCCCCTCCTCTTAACAGATGCTAGTCGGCTCTAACTTCCAAAAATGTTTTGTGGTCACAGGGTAAGTGAAATGACCTGCTTCTCATCTGGTTAATTTTCACTGGCTATACTAGTTCGTGACAGCTGAGATGCCTGGGTTTTGCCTGATGGAGAATAGCCTTTGTGATAAATCCTCCTTGGAAAGCAGGCACAGCTTCACCCCTTCCACAATACAAAAACTTTGGGGCAACAGTAGAGCTCCATGTTTCTAAACTTGTGCTTGGAACAAAAGTGACTCCCACCTGTCAACAGAGTAGAACTTGTAGATTGGAAGAAAAATCACTGGACAGGAAGAAGATAATAATAAGCCCTAGTTGAATGTGTAGCTTTTGATATAACTTAGTTTATAGCTGTGTCCTAAAGTCCTGGGAGGAAAAAGTTGAAATCATATCTGCTACTCGGGCATGAAGCCTGCGTCTTCCCTTCCTGGGATCTCAGTCCATCCCTAGCATCAAAGACTGCTTCCTCAGGAGGATGCTTTAATCACCAGCAAATTCCTTACAGGAAACCTAGTTGTCCAGCTTGGATGAGCAGGTTCCTGCTAGGAGCTCTTCCCTTCCCCTTTGCAGGTTTCAGATTGGTGACCTCCTCCATGTAAGTCGTAATGTGATGCACAAAGGGTGATTTTTTTCTAACCTTTTTCCTTTGAAGACAGTTAACATAACTATGCTTCTCCATCCAAGGATGGGGATACACATTCTTGCATCCATTTTCTGTTGGGAGCTAATTCAGTTGTTCAGCTCACAGGCTGAGAACTGAAGAGTAAGTGACAGCTCTAATGCCAACCCAACTGTAGCTGAGCAGGAAAAAATAGACAAAATGGGGCAGGGAGCTGAACTCCAAATACACTGTGCTTCAAAGACATATAGCCCAGAATTTAATAGCAGACGGGTATCAATTCATCTTAAAATGAGGATGAAGATTTTGACTCTCTAAGAATACAGGCATCAGTTTGTGCATCGTAGGTAGTTTATCCTCATCTGCTTTGTTCAACTGCTGGTATATGTCAGTGTCTGTACAGGTGGCTTCCCAGAAATATTATTTTGTTGCCCTAAATGAATATGCAACGTGGTAGGACTGGGAATGCTACCACATGGTATTATTTTATTTCCATATAACTTTATAACAGTAAAAAAAGTTGTTCTCTTTTAAGCTAAACAAAAAGCCAGTACAGTATTGTGGTGTTCAACTGCAATACAGGGTTGCTGCTGTTACTTATTTCAACCTTAAAATCATCAGTACTTATGAACATAAAACTTGGGCAATAAAAATGTCAGGTAAATCTTCTAATTTAAATCTAGTTTATAACAAAAGGATGAAAAGAGGGTGGTCATAGTTGATCATCACAAATTCTTGCCCAATATCTGTAATAAAAACATACTTCTGTAATAAATGTTGCAACTTGAGTGACTTTCCAAACCCGTTGAATTAACCTGTATAGATCCCCTCTCACTGCCGTGACTAATATGCCGCATCCATGCTGAATTCTGTGCATGGCGAGTGCTCTGGCACGGCGGTTCTACATCAGTTATAGCTGAGGAAGAGCTGAGGGTGTTTTCCTACATATCAAGATTTATGATTCATACTTGGAAAAGATGTTGGTTTTATGAGATGTAAAGGATCTTTAGGTAATGACCTACTGAGTCTTGACTTGCGTGTGCTGGCAGTGACGACCCCTTGCGTACCTTCTGCGATCACGTCAAGCAGGTTGGTGACATGAAGCCTTTTCTTGGAAGTGTCTTGATACTAACACCTCTCTGTAGATTATGGAGGCACTTAGTGTAAAGTATTAAAATGAACGATGGCACGGTGTTGTTTTCCTTGCTCTTTAAATTCTTAGAAGGAAGGGTTTTGCTGCAATTCCATTAAAGCCCTTACCATGGCTCAGAAATTGCCTTTCCTATTCGTCTAGGAGACTGGCAGTCCTTTCCAGTTAGTGAATCCTCTTGTGTAAACAGCGTTTGTGAAGGTTTTTATTTGGTGTGCGTAACCAAAGATGCGCTGTGCAAGTGAATGTTCCTTTTGAGGTGAAAGTTTGGATGTTTCAGCCTTAGGCTGGTCCAGTGTGATCAGAGTTTGCAGTTGGGGGATATGTTCATTTCTAAATCAGCTGCTGGAGATGATGGGACCCTTTCTCTG